ATGTCTCAATGTATTTTTGAACCATATAGCTACAAAATAATTGGCGTAAACTAGTATCCTTTGGCAACTTCTGTGCCTTAATAAACATACCTAACACTAAGGAACAGTTCTTTCCAACTTTTTCTAATATTATGAAAAAGAGAAAATACCAATTGATTGATTCAGAATCCACTAATATTATGTATTAACTAAGACATATAATTTTATTCTGCATTGGTTTGACTAGATTAACTGAAATAAAAATGAATATAGGATTGTAAAATATTCTATTTAACAGAGTAAACTCATTTCTTCTTCCTTGAATATTTGAAGTTTATAGTTTATATACTTCTATTTCTACATCCTGCTCCCATCAATGACAACCACTTAAGTCAGAAAATCTCGTTAGAATCTGCCACCTTACAATGCTCAAACTGACCTACTTAGCAGGTTAGTCTACTATTTTTTGCCTGATTATGGCAGGAAGTAATAAAAGCTCTTTCACTAAACATTCAAAATGAAAAATACAAATTTAATATTTGGTAGTTCCTTCAAAGACAAAGGAAAAATAAAACTGATGTGCAAATAATCTCAGACTGTGGTTAAATTTGTGTTCTGGGAATAACGTAAGAAAATCAATTAAAGACTTAAAGGACTACAGGATTTGTTACAATTACCTAGAAAGTATTTACACGGCAAATGGGGGTGGGGAGGGAATATACTTCTACAAATACTTTGGCTTTCAGAGCCAATGTTATGCAAAGAGATATATTTAATATTCTGTAACATTAAATTTTTTATTTTTAAATGCTATACAAATTGATATATTTTGTTTTCTTTTTTTATCACCTTAATTTTTGAATATATTTCTCTCTACTTTCCTTTCTAGTGAAAATGATAAAAAAAAATGAAAAAAGAAAGGACCAAGTTTGATGATAATTACATAGCATTTAGTTTCAATTTTTTGTTTTTTTGCTGCAGAGTCACTACGTATGTTTTCCCAGTTCTGCTTATTACACTCAAAATCAGTTCACATATATATAAGTTCAGTTCGCATATATATGTCTTCTCACACTTCCCTGAGTTCTGCATATTCACTGTGTACCAATGAATTTAATTAACAGATACTCCTGAGTGTCTCCTGTTATTCTCAGCCCTGTCCTAGGTATCATAAGAGATGCATACATGCCTCTGTAAGACTTTCAAGATCTCATTTCTTTCTCTATTTCCCTTGATGTCACTGGTTCCAAGTCCTTTCTTTGGCTACTACGGAGTATAGTTGTTATGTTACTGGCCTGTGAATTGGCTCAAAAGATCTAAATCCCATTTTGGTTTTATTTCCCTTCTATGTCAAAGACATGAATCGTTTATCTTTATCTTTGCTTATATGCGTAGTTTTCTTGTCCCTATTTTCAACAGAAGAAAAAGAAAGGAATATAAGACAGCGAGATTGACTTCAATTCCTGGCAAAATTCCAAAATGTATTATTAATATACTGTTTACTGAACATCTAGAAACTAAATGATCATCACAAATAATAACTAAGATTTATATATTATTTTAAGTTACTTTGCAAATACTTTATAAATATATACATACACATATATATATACATACATATGTGTGTGTATATGTATATATATGTGTGTAAATATATATATATATGAACACCTCATTTTATCCTTAAAACATCCCTGTGAGGATCCCTATTTTTACAGATGACCAAACCAAAGCATCTAGAGATTAAGTGACCCCAACTTCCAGGAAATAGAGAATATAAATAACCATAACTCAGAAAAAGAAATCCAACAAGCCATAACTGAACTCCCATAGAAAAAATATTCTAGGGCCAGATGAATTTACAAATGAATTATACTAAGATCCAAGGAACAATTAAGTCCATTACTATATAAATCTTTGGAGGAAAGGAGACAACCAGAAGCCCTACCAAATCTCTTCCTTGATACAAATATGTTATTAATACCTAAACCTAGGAGAGTCAAAAGGGAGAAAGAAAACTATGACCCAATATCCCTAATGAATACTGACACAAAATATTTAAATAAAATATTAACAAAGAAGTGAAAGAATTCCAGCTGAGCTATTTAAAATGCTAAAAGATGATGCTGTTAAAAGTGCTACACTCAATATGCCAACAAATTTGGAAAATTCAACACTGGCTACTAGGTTGGAAAAGATCGTTTTATGTCCCAATCCTAAAGCAGGGCAATGACAAAGAATGTTCCAATTACCAAACAACTGCATTCATTTCACACACCAGCAAGGTTATGCTTAAGATTCTACAAGCTAAGCCTCAGCAACATGTGAACTGAGAATTACCAGAAAAGCAGGCTGGTTTTCAAAGAGGCAGAGGAGCTAGAGAGCAAATTGCCAACATTTGCTAGATTATAGAGAAAGCAAAGGAATTCCAGAAAAACATCTACTTCTACTTCATTGACCACATTAAAGCCTCTAAGTGAGTGGATCACAGCAAAATGTAGTAAGTCCTCAAAGAGATGGGAGTACTAAATAATCTCACTTATCTCCTGAGGAACCTGTATGTTAGTCAAGAAACAATAATTAGAACTGAACATGGAACAACTGAATGGTTTAAGATTGATAAAGGAGTATAACAAGGTTATCATATTTATATGCAGAGTAAATTACATGAAATGCCAGTTGGATGAATCAAAAGTCAGAATTAAGTTGATGGGAGATATATCAACAATCTCAGATATGCAAATGATACCACTCACATGGCAGAAAGCAAAGGGGAATTTAGACGGCTCTTGATGAAGGTGAAAGAGGAGACTGGAAAAGCTGGCTTGAAGCTTAACAACAAAAAACCTAAGATCTTGGCCCCTTGTCCCATGACTTCCTGGCACACAGAGGGAGAAGAAATGGAAGTAGTGTCAGATTTCATATTCTTGAGCTCAAAGGTCACTGCAAATGATGATTGCAGCCATAAAATTAAAAGACGCTTGTTTCTTGGAAGGAAAACCATGGCAAATCTGAACAGCATACTAAAAAGCAGAGATATCACCTTGCCAACAAAATCCATGCAGTCAAAGCTATGGTTTTTTCAGTAGCAATGTATGTCTGTGCGAGTTGGACTATAAGGAAAGCTGAGTGCTGCACAACTGACACTTTGAAACTGTGATGGTGGGGAAGACTTTTGAAAGTCCTTTGGACAGCAGGAGATCAAATCCGTCAATACGTAAAGAAATTAATTCAGACTATTCACTAGAAGGTCAAATACAGAAGCTCGAAGCTTAAATACTTTGACCGCATAATGTGAAGATGGGACTCAATGGAAAAGACCCTGATGTGGGAAAGACTGAAGGCAAAAGGAAAAGAGGACAGCAGAAAATGACATGGACAGATACTGTCATAGAAGCAACGAACATGAACTTGGCCAGCCTTCAAGAGATAGTGGAGGACAAAAGGACCTGGCATGCTAAGAGTCAAACATGACTGAACAACTGAACAAACACCCCTAAAACTATGAGGGTATTAGCAATGATCACCCTCTGAAGACTCAGCCCACTAATTTAAGTGGGAACTAGGAAAGTAGCTGCAGAGAGGTGCCACATTTATCTCACTGATGTGGGAATTTGCTCCAAGAACATGGATCACAACCTATATCTGCCTGCCCCTCTCGTATCTCTGGTCCATTTCCTCTCATGGGTTACATTGCTCTGGCTACACACTGGTCATCCCTCCTTCTTGTCACATGGCCAGCCTATCTTCTGTGCCTCCCACGCAAATGTCTCCATGATCCATTTTAATCCTATTCTTCCTCAGAGTTCCTCACTGGTTATCGTGCTGCTGTTACTTACTTCATTACCAGCACTACCACCACTATTACTTCCTCACCAAAAAGGAGGAAAACTATTGACAGACATTTTTTTAGAGAACATGATAAATCTACACAAACACTTCTGGAACAAGCAAACCTCATTTCACCCAACAACTGCAAAAGGAGCTTAAGACAGCAATTTGGGATCAGATTACTGCTACCAGAAGTTATAGAAGGGATATCTTTAAGAAATCCAGACGTAATGGACCGTGCAAATGAAGCAAGGAAATAGTGGTACCTAAGCATTACAATGCTGCAGGCTGCAACAATATGGTACCTACCAAACATTCAGCAAGAAATGATCTGGGGACTAGAATTATATTTTAGAAGCTCACTCAAATTGCACACTGTCTTGGGGTGGGAGAGAGGAGAGATGGGGAGAAAATGTGGAACTCAAAATCTTATGGAAGTGAATGTTGAAAACTAAAATTAAATAGACAAATTAAAATATATATATACATATATATATATATTATATGCATATATCCTGAAGAACTCCACTAACTAACCTGTATTGAAACCAGAGCATGAAAACAAGCTAAGGTATATATCACTAGCATCCTGTCTGCTATTAGAGTTCTACTAAAGATGACTTCAGGGAGCCTAGAAAAGAAGGGCTTAAATACTAATCATTTCATTCAACTGCAAAAAACAGTTATTTTACCCATACACTATATATAAAAAAGAGCAACACAATTATTTGTCCCAGTATCTGAAATCCACTGAACAAGATGAGAAGGATTTTACAACAACAATATTAACAACAATAATAATAGAGAAGCATTGAGGCATATGGACAGAGGGCCAGATTTAGAACCAAGAAGAGCTGGGTTCAAGTCTTGCCTCTAACACATCCTGGCTATATGACTGCGTTAAGTCACTTCTCAGTATTCTATGCCATTCTCTAAGTTGTAGAGAACATGCCAACCTGGCATGAGTAGATGGAGTTTCCTCACTAAGGAGTTCTTCATATCAGTAAAATCATAGGTCAGGTCCATATTTCTAGTAATAATAACAACTATTATTATCAGAACTGATCTAGATAGTGTTTTAAAAGTTTGTGAAGCTTTTTGCATACATTATAAAAATCAAGGTTGATGTAAAGCTAAGCTAGCTTAAAAGTATATATGTGTTTATCATAAGATAGTGATACTAGACTTACCAGTAAGGTCTGTCCTTGAGAAATGAAGAAATGACCTGATACGACTATGGTGAGAACAAGAGAACCAGATTTATCATTAGAATCAAATACCTACAAAAAAAAAAGAGAGAAAGATATGTAAGGACAGCCCATTTCTGGTATAATGGAAAATGCCCACATTGTTTCCTTCTTTGTGTATATCCGATCCTGAATGGCTATCTTTTTTTCAAGACAGCACAGACTCCCAAAATATCTGAGAATTGCGACCCACATAGCTCTTATTCTTTTCTTACTATGTAAAAAGTTCTAACAGAATTTTTTCAGTAATAAACTTTCTTTTTTAAATAGATTTTTATTGATTTCTTTTGTTTGTACACTGCCTAGATTTCCCCCTAAATTTTTCCTTGTCCCTCTTAAAGAGAAGAATCCATATAAAAAACTTTTTTTAAAGGAAGAAGAGGGAAAAAAATCAGCAAAACAAGAAAAACAGACCTTGCCCTCAAGATTCTTATATTCCAATGGGGTAAGACAACATATAAAAGGAAGCTGAAGGTACCCAGTGCAAAGGCATAATAAAGAAGGTACACAGTTCAGCTTAGAAAAGAAATGAGATGTGACTTGGCCTGGGTACCATCATAAAATGGAGATTCTGGAGAAGACACTGAAGCAGAAGAGTCCACAAGGGTCAAGAGTACTTCTGATTTGTGAATTCTAGAGCTACTATGAGCTTCTAGGATAATGGAATTTCTGGGATATAGTAGAGAAAGTTCTGAGGTTAAGCCATGAGAGCAATTAGCTATTAACAGTTTGCAATTCTTGTTTTTGAGAATTATTTGTCCATGACCTTTAACCATTTAGCTACCGAGAAATAGGTTTTGATCATAAAAATATATATGAGTGTGTTTCCATTTTCTATATATTTTGAATAACAAACGTGTATGAGAAAAACGTGACAGCAATCTACTGTTTGCTGTCTTTTCCTAGATGCATTTTGTTTGTGCAGAAGTTTTTCAACTTCATATAATCAAAATTATCTATTTTATCTTTTATGATTGCTTTTATGCCTTATCTAGTTAAGAATTTATCTCTCTTCCCCAAAGCTTGGAAGTATATGATCTGCTTGTTTTCTAATTTTTTATGGTAAAATTTTTAATATGCAAGTCACAATGCAGCTTTAATATCTTTAAAAATGCAGTGTTACTTATGGTCTGCTTTCTGCCAGGCTGCTTTCCAGTTTTCCTGGTAATTCTTATCAAATAGGGCTTTCCTTCCTAAGTAATTTAGGGTTCCAGGATTATCAAATATCAGGTTATATTCCATTTTCCAATTCTTCCCATCTTATTGTGTTCCATTAATATTTTTTACTTTTGTAATATAAAATTATTCATTTTATTACTATTTTGTTATAAAATATTTTACTTTTTAAAAGAAATACCAAATAATTTTTACTACTGCTAGTTTATTATATAGCTTTAAGGTCTGGAAGTGCTATTCACCATTCATTTCTAACTTTTCCATTATTTCCCTTGATATTCTATGTCTTTTCTTCCTACAACTGAATTTTATTATTTTATCAAGCCCTGCAAAATACTCCTTTGACAGTCTGATTAGTATAGCATTAAAACTGTAAACTAAGTTTGGTAGCATTATCATTTTTATTATATTGACATAGGCCTGCCATGAACACTGAATATTCTTCCTGCTATTTAAGCTGTTCTTTATTTCTTTAAGAATCCTTTTATATTATTGCATATGCTATGTATGGTAAATTAAGCCCAAACAGTTTGTGCATTTTGTAGTTATTTTGAATGACATTTTCTTTTATTACTGCCTCTTGGATTTAGTTATATAGAAATGCTTTACTTCTGTGGGTTTATTGTGCAACCTGCAACTTTGTGCAAGCTTTGTCTAAAATTGTTTCTTTACTTGTTCCCTAGGATTTTCTAAGCAAACCACCATGTTTTTTTTTAAATTCAAATTTTTTTAGCTATAAATTCTCTCCCTCCCACCATCCCATTTGAAAAAGCAAGAAAACCAAAAAATATTTATTAAGCACCTACTATGTGCCAGGTACTATGCTAAGCACCAGGAATGATAAAAGAGGCAAAAGACAGTCTCTGCCCTCGAGGAGCTTACAATCTAATGGGGGAGACAACATGCAAACATATACAAAGCAAGTTATATAATGGATAAATAGGAAATAATTAAAAGAGGGAAGGCACTGAAATTACGAAGAATTAGGGAAGACTTCCTGTAGAAGGTGGGATTTTAGTTAGGAATTAAAGGAAGACAGGGAGGTTAATCAAAGCAGAGAGGCAGAGTGTTCCAGATATGGGCGACAGCCAGAGAAAATGCCTGGAGCTTAATCAAGAAAAACAAATTCCCACATTAATGATACACCACCCCCACCCCCACACACACACACACACCCTCCCCCCCTCCCTCCCTCCCTCTCTCTCTCTCTCTCTCTCTCTCTCTCTCTCTCTCTCTCTCTGTCTCTCTCTGTCTCTGTCTCTCTCTCTCCCCTACCTTAATCTATATTCCAAGACCATCATCTCCCTATCTGTGGGTAGCATGTTTCATCATTAGTCCTCTGGAATTGTGGTTGATCACTATGATGATCACAGTTCCTAAGACTTTCAAAGCTGTCTTTACAATATGAACAGTATTCTGGTTTTGCTCATTTCACTTTGCATCACTTCATAAAGTCTTCCCAGCTTTTTCTGAAACCATTCCCTTCATCATTTCTTACAGTACAGTGTTCTATCACATTCACATACCATAATTTGTTCAGCCACTTTCCAGATAATGGGCATCCCCTCAGCTTCCAATTTTTTGTTACCATGAAAAAGCTGCTATAAATATTTTTGTACATATAGGTCCTTTCCCTCTTTCTTTGATCTCTTTGGAGTATAGACCTAGTTTCAGTGTTACACCATATACCAAAATAAAGTCAAAATGGGTACCCAATAAAGGCTGATACTATAAGCAAACTGGGAGAGTAAGGAATAGTTGACCTGTCAGATTTATGGAGAACAGAAGAATTTATGGCCAAACAGGAGATAGAGAACATTATGAAATGTAAAATGGATAATTTTGATTACATTCAATTGAAAAGGTTTTGCACAAACAAAGCCAATGCAACCAATATTAGGAAGGAAGCAGAAAACTGGGAAAGAATTTTTACAACCAGTGTCTCTGATAAGGTCCTCATTTCTAAAATATATATAGAGAACTAAGTCAAATTTATAAGAATACAAGTCATTCCCCAATTGATAAATGGTCAAAAGATATGAACAAGCAGTTTTCTGAGGAAGAAATTAAAGCTATCCTTGGTCATATGAAAAAATGCTCTAAATCACTATTGATTAGAGAAATGCAAATCAAAATGACTCTGAGGTACCACATCACACCTATCAGATTGGTTAAAATGACGAAACAGGAAAATGATAAATGTTGGAGAAGATACAGGAAAATTGGGACACTAATGCATTGTTGGTGGAGTTGTGAAATGATCCAACCATTTTGGAGAGCAATTTGGAACTATGCCCGAAGGGTTACCCAGCAATACCACTTCTAGGGCTGTAACCCAAACGGATCATAAAAATGGGAAAAGGACTCCCATGTACAAAAATATTTATAGCAGCTTTTTATGTGGTGGCCAAGAATTGGAAATTGAGGGGATGTCCATCAATTGGGGAATGGCTGAACAAGTTGTGGCATATGAATGTAATGGAATACTATTGTACTATAAGAAATAATGAGCAGGCCGACTTCATTCTATTCTCTACTCTCTATTTCAGAGTCTGTTTTACTGTTCCATCTCTTGAGTCTAAGCCTTTATAAGCACTGCCCTTTACGCCTGAAATACTCTCCCTCCTCACTTAACTCCTAGTTTCCTTCAAGATTCTGTTCAAATTTCTCCACATTCTGCAAAAAGCCTTTTCCAGTCTCACTCCACCCCATTCCCCAACCAGTGCCTTCCCTCTGAGATTACCTCCCATTTACACTGTATATATCTTGTACATTCACAGTTGTTTGCATGCTGTCTCCCCCATTAGCTCTTTGAGGGTAGGTACTGTGTTTTTTGCCTTCTCTGCATTTCTAGTGCCTAGCAGTGTTTGGGGAATACAGTAAAAGTTTTATAAATGATTGTTGACTGACAGGGAGAGGTCCAGAGGGAATGGTGTTTGGACCACACTGCAAACAAAGGTACAGGGGACTAGCAGAGGTACAAGTGGGCAGGGTCAATACAGGTACTTAAGACCAGTTCATTGACCACAAAGATCTGGACAGAAAAATTCAGTTTAGCATCCTGATTTGCTCCTATATTCTGTTTTCCACTATTACTGATTCCTTAATTCTAGTTTTCTAGACTCATTCCCTAAATCTCCTTCTCAGAAAACCCAGCAGCAGGCAGTTCCCCTCTGCATGAATCTTACTGGGAGGTAAAATCCAACATAGAACCTCTCTCTTGAATTATCAGAGCCCTTCAAGGCTATGGGCTATTAAGGCAGCCATAGCCCATCTGTGCCCAACAATAATGTTTAAAAGTGTGTTTTTTAGAAGACAGCATCTCTCCATCTCCCTTAGGCTGAAAGTATAGGAGCTACTTACGGCCCAGATACCAATCAGCACAGTAGCACTGACCTAACCTAGGTCAGTTTGCAGCCCCTTACTCCTAGGGTCCCACTATATAAATGTCAAACTTAGTGCAAACTTCTGATTGGCATGGGCCACTGCAGCTAGCACAAAGGCAGGACTCTATTGCTTTGCCCATACTCAGATCCAGGTCATAGTCCTGGGTGGTAGTCCCAGGGTGAGGAGGTGCACTAGCATAGCAGAACTTGCAGCCATATTGAAAGGGGGACCCTCCTCACAGTTCCAGGGCAGAAAAGAGTACTTGTGGTCACTAATAGACCAGAGTACAGGCCAGAAGAGAAACAAACACCTCTCCTTAGATTATACAACTTTGGAAGAACTGAAAACTTACAGATCCCTAGAAGTATCTCTGAAAACAACTGCACAAAACCCCTGACGCTTGGGACAGTATGCCCTCCACCCTGGAAGCAGAGCCCTACTTTAACAAAGTGTTAAAAGTCAAATAATAG